AAATGGGAGGAAAAAGTTATTTCCATAAAGATGTCAGGTGAAAATTATGTTCTCAACTCACAACAAAGCAGCTAGTTTTCAGTGTCAGTGTAGAAATGCTGACATTTGAATTCAAGAGATTCATCCAAAAATACTGTGTTTGAGTTTTTATTGCAAATCATTTTTTCTTTAAACTAATGTTATGTTTACATGAGAAGCAAAAAACAGTACAGTAAAATCAGCTTGTAGGGCCTAAAAGTGGACATGAACATGCACAGGTAGGTGCAGTGTTGACTTTAAATTGCTGCTGGCAATGAAAGTAAATTTGATGTGGGATAGGCTGTTCGAAAGGTCTGTATGTATTTTATTTCCTTTAAGCATACGTACAGGTAGAAACATGAGCAAAAGGTGCTTATTATGTCTCAACTCCATTTCAGGGCAGAACAGGGTGTAATTTCCAGATATTCTAATTACTGCAGAGGTGGCAGCTCCAAAATGCCACAAAGGCTGGATGTGGCTCTGGGCAGCCTGGTCTGATGGTTGGCAGGCCTGCACACACAGCAGGGGGGTTGAAACTGGATGATCCTTGTGGACCTTTTCAACCCAGGCCATTCTATGATTCTGTGAAATGTTGCACCATGCTTCAAAAAATGGATACCAGCAGGAGATCATGGGCAGCTTCATTACCTACTTCATTCTGCCACTCCCATACACACTCCAGAGCTGTGGGAAGGGGACAGCACAGGAGGCAGATATGCCAGAATAAAGTACTTGTATAAAATCGAGTGCTTCTATTTATGTGATTCCAAATTGAAGTATCCCCTTTCACACTACGTCTGTTGCTGTTAAGCCAAAAATAATCTGGCTGAAAATCAGTGCATTTAAAGTGGGTTAAGGAAGTGGAATCAAGATTGTTTTAACAGTTTGTGCATCAGACCTTGCAGGTTCTTAGAGGAATATGCTAAAATTCAGTGGAATATTTAGAATGTGAAATTAATTTGCAGTGCTTTTGAAGACTTTTTGAGTTACTAAAACATTTTTGATATTGGTGTAATCTACTATATTAAGTAGAATACATTAAAATGTATTTTAATTATCTTAAAATTATCTGGCTACAGTGACAGCAGGGTTGATCTCTTCTCACTGGTGACAGGATGAGGGGAAATGGCCTCAAGTTGCACCAGGGAAATTTAGGTTGAATATCAGGAAAAACTGGGTTGCGAAGCACTGGAATAGGCTCCCCATTGAGTCACCATCCCTGGATGTGTTTAAAAACCATTTGGATGTGGTGCTCAGGGACATGATTTAGCAGAGCGTTATTGGAGTTAGGGTAGGATGGTTAGGTTGTGGTTGGACTCGATGATCTTTAAGGTCTTTTCCAACCTAGTGGTTCTATGATTCTATGAGACTTCCTCACAAACAACAATTGTAAACCAGTGAATTTTAAAGGATTATTACATTTTAATTCTCCAGGAAGTACATCATTATCAATGTCATGTCCATCCTAGGACAGGGGGAAACTCAGCAGTTTGGTTGAATTGTGTAGGTCTAAAATTGCATTGGAAATCTGATCTGTCTTCAAAGTGACAGATTTTGAGTGGTTGGTACTGCCTGTGTAAAACTCTTACAAGCACCAGTACAGCAATTTAGGAAAACTAGCTGCTCTGCTTTTATGCTTCTGAGGATTACATTTGTCTTTCCAGATATGCAGGACTTCTGCACACAGAATTCGCTATGGTTTCACAGTGTACAACCCCATGGGATTTATTCTTAGAATCCAAACGTCAGTTACTTTTTGAGTTACTAAAAAATCATGCAAGCTCGTTCTCTTGGGTTTTATTTTCTAGATATTGATCATTAAGGGCATTCATACAAAGGCTGATTTGAGCCTAGACCTTCCTATGACAGAAAGTTCTTTTGGAGAAAATCCATCTCTCTGCATTGGCTAACTTGCCCCGAGGAACTGTTTTTTTTTTTTACTACTCCTTATAGTTTAGGGCTAGGGGTCATAAAGCTAGAATGAGCTTTGTATACTAAACCCCATAGTTTTTACTAAGGGCAGGAAAGTATGTGTTCACAGGGCTGTGAAGCAATTGCTTAGTGCAAAAAAAACTTCAGCCCCAAAAGACCAAAAATTTCCTGTGCTGCCAACAGAATACATAGGTACTTCTTACTTAAGTTTTTTCTTCCTGGTGTTGGTTCTGTGACTTTGTAAGTCTTCTCTGTGGTCTTCAGTGAGATGATGATGCGTGTCTGAGTGTTCAGTCTTTTAGTCCAATTTACCCGAATCTAATTGGCATTATTTCATATGGTCATTCAAAAGAAGTGTTGCAATTGCTGGAAAGGTACCAGCTCAAAAACTGGTGGGGTTTTTTTCCTCCTTAAGACACTAGCCATGCTGTTTCTGGAAGTCATATGTGTAATACATACTTTATTTTCCTACCTCTTGAATAAATGCATAATTTAAGTTCTAGAGAAGTGCGTGATGCAGCACCCTTTCACATCAGTAGACAGGATCAGGTTCCAGTAAGTCCATGTGTGTGATTAAGGTCAGAGCTACTTTGTTTAGAAAACAAAACTTTGAAAGCAGTATTTGTATTTGTCACTGAGGCACATGTCACACAGTTTAATGTTTTTATGCTTACCCTGTTTTGATTCTGGTTAGGATCTTTTGCATATAGATGGCTTCAGGTGTCACCTGAAGGCTTTGGGCTAGAGAAAAGACATGATGCCATTACAACCATAAGCTGTCATCTCTGCTGCCTGACAGCAGGGAAGCTGCTGTCTGCATGGGACTCCTGCTGGGCAATGAACATAATACCATTTCTCCCACACAGCTGTTTGGGGACATTAGCATCTGTTATGCTTCAGTAGCAACTCCAGAATAGTTTGTATGTAAATGCACTGTGATAGGTAGAATCAAATGTTTTTAAATAGCACTTTAAAAGATTGTCTTCACACTGGCTTTATTTACTTACCTGTACTAAAGTTTGGTAATAAGGATCAAGCTTTTCATTTTTGCTAGGGGTCTGACCAAGGTCCATCAAATCAAGATCAGGCATTGTCTGCCCAGCAAGCTGCTGTCATTAACCTGACCGGAGTAGGGAATTTCATGCAACCTCAAGCCACAGGTACGTGCTTGCTTTGTATCTGTGTACGTTGATAAACTCACACTGAAATGAAGTTTGGTCTTTCTGATTTAAGACAATCAGAACAACACACTATGTATTATCAGCATATGAACTGTACAAGAAATATTTGACTTTCCAAGCATGCACTTCTCTGCTTTGTTTGGCAGTTAAGTGTAATCAGTTTATTACTTTGCTGTCACATCCGATCTGAAAACAAAATACAGGGAAATTCCATGCCAGACTTCATTGAGGAATGCTCAACTGTGTGCTGAACATCTAGTATAATAAACCTCTTTGTGTCTCCACAAGCACTTCATAATCTAATTATGTTCTAACTAACCAAGTATGTATATCACGTATATTTTATTCTGTACTGTTTCCAGTTTTACTCAGACTAATTCTGTGACTCTCCTTTTCTGTTACGTTCTTCCTATGCCTTCCTTTCCCTACCCTGATAAACTTGACCTGACCTCTTTGACCTGCCTGCTTTCCCCTTCTCCTTTCTTAGTGTTGTCTCAGCTTGGCTCTGCCATGAACAGACCTGGGCAAAGCCTTCCTCAGCAGAGACTCCAGCTCTCTTCTGCCTTACAACAGCAACAACAACAAGCCTTGCAGCAGCAGCAGCAACAGATACAAGTAATCCAGCAACTTCACTCCGTTTAAAAAAAGAACACAGTAATACAGTTCTTAGCTCCAAATTCGAAAATCTTGTTTTCTGTTTTTTTTTTTAACTGTCACTATGGTCTTACAAAGAAACAAACCTCTGAATTTTGGCAAATGATTGTGATAAGACTTGAAATCTGTGATTCTCTCAGCTTGGAGCACTGAATTTATTTTTATTCATTTAAGCCATCCACCTTCCCAATTTGGTAACATTCAAGGAGTGCTTGTGGCACATTACTAAATAAACTGCCAGGTGCCATTAGGATTCCAAAACAACAAAACTGTAAGCACCTGCAAGTTCAAATGTAGTGCAGCTACAGGCAGCATGCAGAAACAGCTCTGGCAAAGCATTCCTTCAGTATTGTCATTCATGTGGTCGATGAAAATATTAAAATACTTCTGCACAGTCTCCTTGTGAGGTACATAGAAAATAATACATGCGTGGAAAATGCATCATGCTAAAAGAGCGTCACCAAATGTTTCCTGAAGTTGCTGAGTTACTGCAATGGACAGAAAGGGCGAAGAAGTAGCTGTTAGAGAATGTGTGCAAAACACGAGACGCCCTCAGGCTTCTGTGCCACTGGTGCTGCTTGACTGTACTCATTGCCCCCCTGCACAGGATATGTTTCTTTTGTTCACCTAGCACTTCCATTTTTGTTTCCCCCACCACCACCTTACTGTCGTTCTTTCTGACGTGAGCCATAGTTTTGTAGCTAACACTAACAAGCTTTTTCTCCTCCTCCTTTGTGGCAGCAGTTGCGATTCTTGCAGCATCAAATGGCTATGGCAGCAGCAGCAGCACAAGCAGCTCATCTACGACATCAGCAGCATTCAGGCAGCCACTCAAAAAGTAAAAGGAAAAGAGGCACACCTGCCCCTCCAAAATCCTGAGACTCTCTTTTTTTTTTCCTTAGTATAAAAATGATTTAAAGGCGTGGGTTGTTTTTTTTTTTTCCCTGTTTAAAAAGGATAAAGCTTAAAAACAAATCAGTATTTTATAGTGTTGTTGGGAAGCTGAACTTTTGACATGATACTGAAAAAAGATGAACTCCTTGGAAGCCATTCCTACATAATGTAATGACTTCATCAATAAAGCAGCTGGGGTCTGGCTTCCGTAAGTCACTTAATTTTTTAACAGAATGTTTTATCTTGTATTTTTTACCATTCAGCAGCATTGTACATAGTAAAAGGGTGAAAAACGTTTTAGAAGAAAATGAACTTTGTAAATGTAGTATTAGTATTTGTTTATTTAGTATAAAAAGGTTTGTGAACACCGTAACAAATACAATTTTTATAAATCCACTTTTGAAAAGATCTTTTTGTTCACTTGGGCTTTATACTTTTTATTACTTTGTCTATCAGCTTCTTTACTTCTTTGTGTCTCGTAATGGCTCTGCTGATACAGTCCTGAAGCTTGGCTCCTGTCAGAGGACTTCCACCTAAGAATTGGGAGGAAAAAAAAGGAAAATGGTTTTCCAGTTGTACTTCAGTTACGTATCCCTAATTGTATTTTCCAAATCAAAGTATTGATACAGTAATTCTCCCAACCAGCAGTTTTCACCTGGGAAGTTATACAGGTCCAACTTCCCCAACTATAACCTCAAGCACAGGAAAGAAACATTAGGGCTAAAATGCAGACATGCTCAAAATCTGCCTTTTGCTATACAAAGGACCAGTTATGACTTTTTAACAGTCATGCTGCCTCCTTCAAGATGGATTTTAACAGTAAGTGGTTTAATCAGTACTTAAGCAATCTGTCATCATAAAGGGCCCACATTTTACAAAGAAATGCAGGTACATAACATATAGGTCAAGAAAAGACCATCCTCTTCTTTAGCTCTTGTGTGGTACCTGGTTTGTGGACAGAACAAAGTCTGTCATCTTCATCTGTGACAACAGTCACTGTTCCAGTTGCTAAGTCTTCTTCTTCAGCAGTTGGGTCAACAATGAGTAATGTGCTTTTGAAAGAGAAACATATGCAGGCATTAGTTTGTGATGTACCATAAATATCACCAAGTTATGAGATGTGATTACCCTGAACTCTCAGATTCCCTACCTACAGAAACAAGGACGTAGGAGTGCTGGTCATATTTCAAGTTGGGTAAATATGTTTCCATTATCAAGAGATTTTATTCTAACTGGAGTGGTATTTTTTATTTCCTCTGTTGACAAATACTTGATATAAGCTGTTCAAAAATTACCATCTTTTATATCAGTTATGTATACACACTTTTAAAAGATTATCTGTTCTTAGCATTCTTTTGTCTCAAAAATACTGCATAAACACACAATACCTATTCCAGAAACTTCAATCCTGGACTACTTTTCAAGCTTGTCTTAGGCAGGGAAACCATTCTGCTTTAAGTCACAGGAAGAAGTTGGACAGACTTTGTTTCATTCTGCTGCATACTCATTCATAACAGAACTACAGATCAGCAGGACAGGCTTTGGTAGCAAGAGCAAGAGGAACAGGCCTTCACTAGGTTCTTCACTAGAAGTGGATGAGACATGCAGAATTGTCATCCTAAGCACCTTCTGGTTTTCGCTACTTCTTTTAAGACAGAGCTGTTGGAGAGGGTCCAGAGGAAGGCCACAAAGATGATCAGGGGACTGGAGCACCTCCCCTATGAAGACAGGCTGAGGGAGCTGGGCTTGTTCAGCCTGGAGAAAAGAAAGCTGCGGGGTGACTGACAAACAGGAGAGGAATCAACTCTTTGAAAGGGTAGATAACAGCAGGACGAGGGGAAATGGTTTTAAGTTGAGGGAGGGAAGATTTAGGTTGGATTTCAGGGGGAAGTTCTTTACAGAATGGTGAGGTGCTGGAAAACAGGCTGCCCAGAGAGGTTGTGGATGCCCCATCCCTGGAAGTCTTCAAGGCCAGATTGGATGGGGCCCTGGGCAGCCTGGTCTAGCATTAGCTGGGGAGGTTGGTGGCCCTGCACGTGGGCTGGAGATTCATGATCCTTGAGGTCCCTTCCAACCCTGGCCATTCTGTGATTCTGTGATTTTATACACTCAGCAGTTTTTTAAGTACAAAACAGTTACAGACTTACTCATCAAATACAGCAAACGACGTGGCAACTGGATGCTTTCTGATAACCAAGGGATTCTTCTGCTTGAAATCAACTTCGGACAAACCAGTTTCTTCATTTATAGTCACAGACGGCAGCTGCACTGAAGAAACGGAAGCACTGCATTGGTACGATATTAAGCATTGCTGTTCTCAGTAGGCATAGAGATATCCAAGGCTATTGAAACAGTTCAGCTGTTCTACTACCATATTGATAAGCCACTGAAAAGAGATGAGAATAGAGTTGTGGCTACATTACTGGTGCTCCTGTACACAGCATTTTTTAAATTCAAGGAAAGTGTTTAACTTAGAAGTACCTGTTCAAGTAAGTATATAGCATTCTTCCTTACACAGAAGCATTTTCTGCTTCCAAAATATCATACACTTACAATATCTTTAACAAAAAGCATTTTTCCCACTCAAAAAGCCTACAGGACATATAGATGTTTCATAAATCTAGAAAAAAAACAAAATCTGATCATCAGATAACTCTTTGTCAACCCATACAGTATTGGAGACAGGGAAATCAAGAGCAAAGTAGCCACGGGAATTTAAAGGCATGCAGGTCACACTAAGAAGGAAGCCTTATTGTAAGCTTCTCCTTAAGCTTTCCTACATGTGTGTTTAACCCACATCTTGTGGGGATCGATCAATGCACTGCATGCATAAAAACACTTATTTCAGACTATAACACATTAAGAGCCTGGAATATTCTGTTCTGCCAAACAAGAAAGCCCCCAACTTATTCTGCCTACACAAGATCAATGAGCAAGGGAAGATGAACAAGGTAAGATATTTAAGTTAGTGGCCGTTTCTGCCAGCAGCAGTAGTCAGTGTGTTTTACTCCACAAAAGACTTACCATTTTTCAGTGCTGCTAACAAAGCAAAGGTACTGGCATCCAAGATGTTCCCATCGTAGTCCAGACATATGATATCACAGTATAACACCCAAGCAAGCTACCAAAAAAGGTTTGCACATGTGATGTATTACAGCAGCTAAATAAATAGTGCAATATCTAAGCAAACACGGGCCACATGAATAAATATACTTATTTCTCACATGAGAAAGAAATTTTTACACTTCAAACATAAATAAATCTATGCTGACTAAAAAACAAACTCATCAAAATATTACACCCCCCCCCCCCGGTTATTTTCTTTAAAGTTGTAACACTCTGATCTTGCTACTATGACCCTCTTCATTTGGAGACAGAACTTACCTTGCCATCTGCAATACACAGATCTTCTTTTGCTATTATCTGTGAACTAAAATAAAATGAGTGTAAACCAGGGAACAGAAACCTATCCTGCAGTTTTTTTGTATTTTAAATGCAGCACAATGGTTCTTACTTTTCAATCACATCTGCAATGAACTGGCTTGCTGCTTGAGCCTCTTCACCAGGAGGTCCGGAGCGAAACCTCGTTGAGCAGAGAGATGGCAATTCTACATTTGGAACTGGGGAGCAAAGGTCGTTAGTTATAAACTAATGGGAACTCAGAAATAGAAATAGGACAATATGTACTTCTAATACCATTTTATATACTTGAAACAAAAGGTAAAACCAAGACTTTTTCAGTCAAGCCTTTCTACCTCTCCCCTCAAAAAAGAAATTCAATGTGACTTTGTAGTAAAGGACTTCTACAAGTCTGTAGTTGGAAATACATATTCCACTGGAAAGCCAATACTGATATGTAGCATTTTCCATTTGTATTCCTGCTATGAATATCATGACCACATACAAACTCTTCCACAAGTGTTCTTCATAAGTGTTCATAAGTGTTTGTAAGCATTCTTGGTTAAATCATGAAACAACACCATATTCATCCCACTGCCTGGCTTTACTGGTATGCTCTTTGCTCTTCTTCAACTGTCAAAACTTGATGCTTTCAACTGAAAGCAAAAACATGCATAAACATTCATGGGGGGTAGAAGAAAATCTGAGACCAGTATCAAGTTCACTGCAAACAACATATTTTGCAGAAGATCTCAGTTCCACTGAGTTAAAAATCACACAGGAATGCAGATGTACTTCGATTTCTACAGTTCCCTGAGAAATAAGTAGATTTTAGTTCACTCTTTTCACAAGAAGCACTTTTTGTCTGTTCAGACTTCAATAAAGATGCATGCCTTTGCACAGCCTTTCACAGCGCTGTATTTCAGAGATGAACTACCTTCCTCCTCTTAACATACACACTTATCCCCCAGAGGAGGTTTATTTTCAACCTGGGCTGGAACCAGGAATGAAAAAGAACATCTTTGCATGGAAAACTCACAGCAGAGCAGGGGAGTTCTGAAATTTCTGAAGCACCACTTCCTGAATGCCAATTTGGAAACTGATTTCAAGGAAGATAATACAGTGCTAACCATTTTCTTTCTTTTAAGAGGCCTTCACAGCACACTCAACCTGTCCCATGATTACAGCCCTTTAGCTGAAGGGAAAAGATCTGCATAAGAACGATACCAAAAATCTTACCAATATATCCCTTATTAGCAGAATCTACTGCAGGTGCAGCAAGCTCCTGGAATAAAAAAGGTAAAAATGAAGAGCTGAGTTCTGTTCAAAATGATTTTCCTGCTATTTCGTTTATGAAGTATCATTTTCTTGCCAGTTACTATTACAGTTAGAGTTAAAAGAGCTATTTTTAATGAGCTGATTGCAAGTTAATAGGTAGCAAACTGTCTCTAATTCACCTATGGGAAAACTTTTTGCTGCAGGGGTGTGAAGTGATTTGTCTCACGGTTCATGGCAGGCCACCAGAGCTGAGCAAACAAGGCACTCAACAGCTCAGCCAGCTCTTCACCAACCCACTTATGGATCAATCTGAAGGAACTCATCAATTACTCTGTTATTTCTGGAGAAAAGCTCTTACATCCTTGTGCACGTCCTCCCCTACGCACAGCACACATCACAAACACACACATTCTCTGAATGTACAAGTTGCACTGGACAACTAAATAACTCAAGTGAAAGACTGTAATTCTGTCTGACTGGTATCTTACTGGTATCTTATTTGTGGGAGAGGCATTCTACAAATGAATGTACAAACTCAGCTAACAGACAGGTTAAAATCAAAACCAACCATACCGCTTTCACTCCACAAATTACTGTAGTATTTCCCAACTTCACCAAGGCAGAACCATCTGCAGTTGTAATTGAACCTGAAGAGAGAAAGTGCTGTTTAGTAAAATCTGTTCTCTTTCATCCTTAACATCCTTAACACCCACCTTCACAGTGTTTATTCTCCATTATTCTAAACCAGTCTCAGCAAAGTCTTGATGACCCAAGATGGGAGCTGAACTTCCCTTTCTAGCAAACAGTCAAAATACTGGATTACTAGCAATCCTAAAATTGAAGCTAAGAATCACTGAATCCATTGCCCAAAATGTATTTCTAGTGTTTTCCCCCAGAATGTTACCAAATAAGTCTGCTTCATTATCTTGATCCAGCTTTCCCATGATCACCATATTATTTTTGGCTCATTAATACAAATCTGAACTAAAAATATCCCTTAAATTAAAAGCACTCAGTGTTCTACTACAAGAAAATGCTACCACACAAAGCACAAAACCCAGCTACTAGTGGGAAACTTACAAACCACTAATCAAGGATGGCAATGACAACATCATCTTCTGACTGGCTTACAGCAAAACCTCATGAAAAGGCAACATTAGACAAAGGAAAAAACCTGCAGTGTCAGTTTGAGCAATGATCAGCAGCCATTCCATGGCAGTTTAATGCTAACCTGCACAGTGCTTTTAGAAAGTGATGGCCAAGAAAGGCAGGTAAGGTCTCTGCTCACTGCCTAGAGTTATCTTGCCTCTGCTTGAGACAGTTGCTCATCAGACTTTGAATAAAACAGGAGCAGGGAGAGCCCAACTCTTTCAAGGTGATAGGCACTGACTGTTCACTGGTCAGTGCTGACACAGATGCTGCTTTCAGCATCTACAGTGTGAGCTGCTCATCTTTGCAACAGACAAGCTTCCAAGACCTCCTAAATAATGCTTTGCACACCAGCCCAGGAGAAGCACTGAATAGATGTGAGCATACTGTTATCTTTAATGCTTGTTGGAACTACAAATAAAAATGCTCTCTTGTTTCAAAATGTGAGCACCATGAAGACTGACAAATCAAAGCAAATCATTAACTAGCTATTAAGAGATTAATACTACTCCCATTATTATTATGCATACAATCGTTAAAAGTTGGAGAAGATGACTAAGATCATCACTCATCACCACTAAGCCATGTTCCTAAATAGAACTGTAGAATCATTAAAGACATTCCAAAAAAGTACTTACCTATGTTGACAGTGGTTGCTCGGAATTCACCCAACTCCCTCCCATCAGGTCGACAGTTCTCTTTCTAAACAAAATTTACAGAGGTCAAATTAGAAAACATTTGATTAAAGAACACACCAAACACAGCATATTATATCAAACAGAACAATGTGTTTATTAAAGGAAAAAATAAAGCATTGTTTTTCTTTTAGTAGAAATATAGTTACAAAATTGCTAGGGCAAGCTCAATCTTATTCCAGCTTGTTTTTCTATCAAGTGATACCCAGTTTAGGCTTGTAGATCACAATTTTTTTATTATTTAACTGATTTAGAAGATTAATATAACAGACTGACTGTCTCAAGGATAAGTACCACAGGCTAGATTCAGAAAACCACCCAGAAATGGATACTCATTGATGACTCAAAATGAGTTTTTACCTGTCTACAGCTCCCTTCCTTACTCTCACCCAGCAGAACTCTGACAATGAAGGTCAGCGTGAATCATACCAAACATAACACCTCTAAATACTGCCAAGTCAGACACTGTACAACAAAACCTGAATCTTAAATTAAAAGCAGCATCAATTCATTTCCATGTTAGAGCTGGACTACTATTCATCACAAGTTCAGAGACTTTTGGTTCAATTACAAGAACTGCAGTAATACTGTACTCATTTCCAAGTCGAGGCTGTTTCAGTAATGTGCAGATTGCATGACAGAAAGTTAGCAGATTTCCTTCACAGTTATGATGAGCAGTCAGTAGCAATATTTTCTATTAGCATTTAGCAGCATCTGACAGCCCTGCCTTTATAAAAGAGACACAAAGCCAACGAAAGTACTTACTCACCTGCAGTTAAACAGGAACACAACCTGTGGTGGTACCAACACCACAAGCAGGAGAAAAAAACAACTTCTGAAAGATTTATGACCATTTTTCCCCAATTTGACAAGGTTTATGCCTTTCCCTCACAGCTTCAGGTTTCCACATGGACAAGAAAGACACTGAGGCCAGAGAAGGGCAACAAAGCTATGAAGGGTTGGAGCACAAGTCTGGTGGGGAGCAGCTGAAGCAGCTGGGATTGTTCAGTATGGAAAGAGAAGGCTCAGGGGAGACCTTATCACTCTCCACAGCTGCCTGAAAGGAGGTTGTGGCGAGGTGGGGGTCAGCCTCTTCTTATGGATAGCAGTGATAGGATAAGAAGGGATGGCCTTACACTGTTCCAGAGGAGGTTCAGGTTGGGTAGCAGGAAATCTTTTCTCAGAGTGCTGCAGTCACCATCCCAGAGGTGCTCAAGAAATGCACGGAGACATTCAAGGCACTGAGGGACGTGGCCCAGTGGGCAGCGTTGGTGGCAGGTGGGCAGTTGGACTGGATGATCTTAGAGGTCTTCCTAACCTTAATGATTGCATGATTCCAAGTTTAAAAACCGTATGCACGCAAAAGAAAGCTGCAAACATGGAGGTATGCACGCACACCATCTTTTACTCACCAAAAATCTCCTGTAATATTCCAGCGGTTCCACTGTTCTAAAACAGACAGAAAAGGGGGGGGGTTCACGTGCAAGCTCCCACCGAGAGCGCAGGAGGGAAAAGCGAGCTGGGAGCCTTCGGCAACGCATCACCTGAGAGCGAAGGCGGGCAGCGAAACCGCTCAGCAGCGCGGTCCCTGAAGGACCCGGGAGCTCCCGGTCCCACGGAGCGCTACTGCTTTTAACGCAGCCACCCACGGACCCTCGCGAAGCCCCGTCACCGAGTAACCCCGCAACGGCGGCTTCCAGAGGAGAAGCTCCGCCCTCGCCACGTCGCATCCCCAAAGCGGCGCGGGCCGAACGAACCCGCTCCCTTACGGCGCGGGGATCGCAGGGGCCACGGCGCCGCAACTCACTTGAAAGCCGTCGCCATGGCGGCACCGCCGTCCTTTGCGGCCGTAGTTCCGGACCTGCGCAGCGGCTCGGCCCGGAAGCTCAAGCTGGCGGCACGGTACGGCGGGGCGGGGAAACGGCGGCTTCCGCATCGCTGGAGCAGCGGCTCGTTGCCGCTCCCCGGCTATGGCGTTGCCGCTGCCCCTATCCCTGCCCGAGCTCGGCGCGGTGCTGGCGGTCCTGGCCGCCCTCCTCCTGCTCCTGGTGAGAGCTGCGGGCATCCCGCGTGGGGGCGAGGGCCGCTCGGGGCTGGGGCTCCCGCTAGCTGGGGCTCCCGCTGGCTGTATTCGTCCGAGGTGCGTTGGAGAAAAGGGGTTCTCACCGCGCCTGTGGGAAAACCCGTCTCTGTGGCCAGGACTGGTGAACCGTGCAATGTAGTGGCAGCCACTACACGAGAGGGTTCCGGCCCTCTGGTGCAGGCTGTGCACTGGAACAGGATACCAGAGAGGTGGTGGATTCCTTATTCTTGGAAGCATCCCTGGTCGGGCTTGTTCAAGCTCTGAGCACCTTGACCTGGCTGGTCGTTGCAGGAGGTTGGCCTGGATGACCCTTTCAACCCAAGCACTCTACAGCTCAGTGATAAAATGCACTACTGTTGCTCTATCTTGTTATGTCTTTGGTTGCCCCTTGTAATGCGTTCAGCAGTTAGATAAACCTTTAACAGGGTGCTGGTAGGTAAACTTAGGAGGAAATTTTTCACTCAGAGGGTGGTGACACTGTGGAACAGGTTGCCCAAGGAGGTTGTGGATGCCCCATCCCTGGAGGCATTCAAGGCCAGGCTGGATGTGGCTCTGGGCAGCCTGGTCTGCTGGTTGGTGACCCTGCACATAGCAGGGGGTTGAAACTGGATGAGCACTGTGGTCCTTTTCAACCCAGGACGTTCTATGATTCTATTCTATGATTCTACAAACAGAGCTCAAAGGTTTTCTCTTCTTTTTCATTACAGGTCTGTATAATTGCTCACGTAACCGCAGTAAAAATGCCAACCCTCCACCGACACGCTGAAGAAAAATTCTTCATCTGTGCTGAAGGCAGGAAAGAACCTGTACCGAGTATCCATGACCCCCCTACAAAGGAACTCTCTGTAGTTGTGCCTTCTTACAACGAGGAAGACCGGTGTAAGATTTGTCTTGTTTTGAGGGAAAAAAAAAAAAAAAAAAAAAAAAAAAGTGAAGTCTGTTGTGACTGTGATAATGCAGAGGTTTTCTTTCTGGTGGTGGTAGTCTTTAATGGGCCTGTACGTAGTTTCTAGAAAACTGACCAACTAGGTTGAGTTTCAAAATTAAGATATTGTGTAATTTGATTTCTTATGCTAAAAATAGCATGGGGCACTTGTAGCAATCTGCTTTATTTTAATAAATTGCAGCAGAAAGCTGCTTACTGCCCCAGTAGTTGCTATAAGGCAAGACGCAGAAACAGACTTCTGAAATTAGAGAGCTTCCTACCCTGTAAGCAACAGCTGCAGTCTCAGACAAGCAAGGAAAAGGGTGATCTCTTGTCTCTCTGTTGTTTGCTGTGTTTGGTGTGGCCTTATTTATGAGGACAAAATACTAGAAAGTGAGTGCTTTCCTATCTGATAGAAATCATTAAGCTCTAGAGCTGTACTTGTTGATGTGTGGTAGCTGACGTTATTCCTGTTCTTGGTGAGTGAAAGTAGTGAGCTGTTCAGGATTCCACTGAGAGAGACATGGACAGGAAGTACACCTGACCCTTTCACAGAATCACAGAATGGCTGGGTTGGAAGGGACCTCAAAGATCATGAATCTCCAACCCCCTGCCACATGCAGGGCCACCAGCCTCCCCACTTAATACTAGACCAGGCTGCCCTGGGCCCCATCCAATCTGGCCTCGAACACCTCTGGGGACAGGGCATCCACAGCTTCTTTGGGCAGCCTTTTCCAGCACCTCACTACTTTCATAGTAAAGAACTTGACCCTTTCTAGAGAAGAGAGCATTCCTCAGTCCTGCTTCTCCATACATACTTCCAGTAAGCAAAGACTTCACATGTTCCCTGTGCTTTTCACTTAGTTATCTCTCTCTCTGGAGGCAGAATAATCACTTGAACCAAAGGCAGCCATGAGGCTGAATATTTTTCTAACATGCAGAGAAATCAGTGCCTACTCTTTGGCATCATCGTGGCTAACAGCCTTAGTAAGAGAGGACATAATACTGACTGTCATTGGGAACTTCTCTTGATGTTTGTCGCTTTGCTTGAACAGGAGAAATCAGTGCTGATTTATAGGATCTCTCTTGGAGAATTTCTTTTATTTATTTATTTTTTTAGTACTTGATGTCATTACCTAATTCAAAATGGAATGTTGGTTCTTATCTTTAAAAGAAATGATTTTATGTTGTCCTGCATGTATGACTTTTTTCATTGCCTTTTCTGCATTCAGAAAGGACAGGGCTTTGAATCGCAGGTCCTGAACTTGTTCACTAGTGTTGTATGGTTGAGGCAATTCACTCATGTTCCCCTTCTGGTTGTGGTCAGCTTGGTTGTGCTGATGCTTTTTGGTGCCTTTGTTGTTCAGCCTGTTATAATCTACTGATTTTTTTTTTATATATTTTTTTTTTCCCCTCTAGTGCCTCTTATGATGGATGAAGCTTTGGATTATCTAGAAAAAAGACAGGTATTTTAATTTTGCATTCAAAAAATGCTGTCTTTCTATGTGTTATGTATAAGAAGGATGTGATCTATTAACTTTGTTATTTTGGTGTATGTTAAAGCAGTATAACAGCCTCTTGGAAGTGAAACATGTCTTATCAGTTCACTTTCTTTTGGATAGTATGCTGTAAAGCTATTTTCTTTATTTAATTAAATTGAATGTGCTACTGTATGATGTATGATTTCTCCAAGACAGAGATGAGGATAAACAATACATTTAACATTCTAAACTACATATTGGTTGGTCCCAACCAGTTTTTAAACATTTGTTCTTCTTCAGGGTTGCTTATTTGAGTTAAGAAGGTGTTTGGTTTTGTTTATCTGTTTTAGCAGTAATGTTGCTTTGGGCTTTCGTGTTTTTATAAATTAAATTGATTTTTCAGTTCTAAATAGTAGTTGAGGAAAAATATGGCAACCAATGTAATGGAAGAGGCATCAAATATGGCAAAATTATTCCGATAAAGTAACTATGTTAGCAAATTTACTGCATAATATTGGAGCCTGTCTGCACATGGGAATGAGCTGAAAACTGCCAGACACAAAGAATGCTGATGCTTAAAAGACCTGCTGTGAACTTCAGAAATGGCATGCAGTGCACTCTTTGTGTTCTTCTTTTTAAGAAACGAGACCCTTCCTTCACTTATGAAGTAATGGTGGTTGATGATGGTAGTAAAGATCGGACCACAGAGGTAAGGAAACAATCAGAGGTATGAGTTTTTATATTGCAGTTGTGAAATATAATAATGATGTATTTTGGCACTTGAAGTAATTGATTCAAATTCATATTTCTGAACGTTTTCTGTTATGGTCCTACATGCAGTATGAATATCACATATACATAAACATACACATATAATTATTTTTCAAATGCTTATTACTCTTAATTGTCTTTCCTGCAGCTGGAACTCTAGAAGTTCTAATCCTAGCTTCAGTTAACAGCTTCTAACGTATTCTTCACATGCAAAGTGATGTGAATGTGATTTTGAGGAAGCATAAGACGCCTTTTAAAGTACCTGGTTCATGCTGTGATTGACAGGAGAGCTGACATTTTGTCTCTTTGCCTTATCTTTCATGACGTTGTTCATTTAAAAATCCCAATGGCAGTAGCAGTGTTTCCCACCCAGTTCTGTGTTCTTCTACTTCGATGAATGTTGACTTGCAACAACTGTTAGAGAAGATGAGAGGGAAAAGCTCATGCTTTCTTTCCCCCGTAGCGTGGAACAAAACCTGCACATCTCTGCAGTGTGAATGGGATTTTACATCACTGAATTTTTGTTTAAGACCACAGAGAGCAGCAAGACGAGTGAGAAGTAGGTAGTAGTAGTAGAAAATTATTTTACTTTTGAATGTTTGTGTTAGTATAAAAGTCTGAAACAGTGTGCTATAAATGATATTAGGACTGGGAGTCTCCTGGTCTTCAGTGAATGGGGTTTAGAATTGCTTGGAGGAATATCCTGTGCTTCCTGAATATGAATACCTCCTTCACACTTCTTGTGCTGACTGTGAACTACTTCTTATTTTCCCAAACAGACTCCAGCAAACACTGGCAGTGTATTTGTTGAGACTGAAGTGATTATAGCTCTGTGCTATTAAATGAAAAAAAGGAAAGGGTGAGCAATGGTAAACTTCTACCTTGAGTCTTTTTTCTGTTTCATGCTGTTCTTTTTGTATGTCTCTCAGGTTGCAATGAAGTACTGCGAGAAATACGGAAGCGACAAAGTGCGAGTGCTTTCTTTGGTAAAAAATCGAGGGAAAGGAGGAGCAGTCAGGATGGTAACTGATACTTTCATCTCCTTCTCTGTCTGAACTTCCTGTACCCAAATATGCAGGAAATACAGCTGTGCTGATACACGTTTTGAATTCAATATAGTAACAAAATGACTCCTAGAAAGCTGAATACAAATTCCATGAACTGAAGAAAAAACTCTTTACAAAATTAACTTATTTTAGATTCTGGGAATGTAATGTTCATATTCTTTTCCTGTTCAGAAATGACTTTGCAGTGTGAGGGAAAAAGAAAACAACAGCAAAAATACCCTCACAGATTTTATAGAGGAAATACAAAGTTTGCGAGTATTGTTTTCTGGGTTGCTCATGGAGGTTGTGGATGCCCCATCCCTGGAGGCACTCAAGGCCAGCCTGGATGTGGCTCTGGGCAGCCTGGTCTGCTGGTTGGTGACCCTGCACATAGCAGGGGGGTTGAAACGAGATGATCATTGTGGTCCTTTTCAACCCAGGCCATTCTGTGATTCTATGATCATTCTTTTTATTAAAAAAAAAAAAAAAGTACAGTGAAGTTTGTACTTTAAGCCCACTGCTTATCACCTGTATTTCATAGTAGAAC